CCAATACCATGCTATTTTGATTATTATAGCTTTATAGTATAATTTGAAACCAGGAAACATGATACCTCCAACTTCATTCTTCTTTCTTAAGATTGCTTTGGCTATTCAGGATCTTTTGTGATTTCAGACAAAATTTAGGTTATTTTTTCTAGTTCTGTGAAAAATGCCATTGGTATTTTCGTGGGGATTGCACTGAATCTCAAGCTTGCTTTGGGTAATACGTACATTTTAACAGTACTAGTTGTTCCAATCCATGAGCACAGGATGTCCTTCCATTTGCTTGTGTCTTCTTCAGTTTCTTTCGTCAGTGTCTTACAGTTTTCAGACTACAGGTCTTTCACCTCCTTGGTTAAATTTATTCCAAGATATTTTATTCTTTTTGATGCAATTGTAAATGGGACTGCTTTCTTAATTTGTTAGTTTGCTTTTAGTAGACAGAAATGCAACAGATTTCTGTATATTGATTTCATATCCTGTATCATTTCTTTGATCACTTTTGTTGCTTCCAATGTCAAGGCCTTTGCCCATGATTTTCCCTTTGTAAAGTTCTTCATTAATGCCTTCTTGCCCTTCCAGTCTCAATTAATGTCACTCCCTAAGAGATACTCTTCCTGATCCCTAGAGTAGGTTAAATGATCTATGTTTGCAACCAAATCAGTAGTCTGTACTTATCAAGAGTCTAGTAATTACTGTTTAATATCTGTCTTTAATATCTACTGCCAGAGTGAGGCTCCCTGAGAGCAGGGTCTACATCTGCCTTGTTCACCACCATGAGTTTAGGGACGGTGAGTGGTATGCTGAGGTACTCCTTAAGTATGTGTGAAATGAATGAATGCCATGCTATGATAGTTTAAAATGCATCTTCTTGATTTTGTTTAAAATGATTGATCAAGACAAAATGAGGCAGTCAATGAAATACATGTATTAAATATACAAAATTCTTACCCAGAAAAGATCCCAAAGAACAAATCTAACATTGTAAGCTTATTAGTTTCATTTAAAAAAAATATTCAGTAGCTCCACACTGCCTCCAGAATATGGTTCTAACTCCCAGGGAACTAAGGTATTTAAGATTCAACACGACCCACCCCAGTGTTGAATTCCCATCTCTGCTTTCTCTCTTGCTCCTCCCCCTCACAAACTCTGTCAGGTAGTGTAAGTTAGTGGTTTCGTAGACAGTTCATACAGTCCCTTAGAAGGCAAGATGTAGACTGAGTGACTCCCACCCACCCCTCCCCTAAATAAAAGTATCTTCAGTTGTATCTATTTTACTTATTGAATTTGATGAATAAATGGTTGAGTTGAGTATGAAAACATTTACTAGATCTGCACATCCAACCCCTAGTGGGGTTTTATGTAGAAAGTACCAATACACAAAGCAAAAAAAGGGAGAGCTCTGGATTAAATGAACACTCTACTGCTTTGTGCCCCCTCTTGGACCTCCCCAAATTCCTCACCTGGGTTCTGCTTAAGAATGCTGAGGCTATGAAGAACACATAAAATCTTTCCTCTAGGGAGAACAAGTGACTAGATTTGTCCCTTGAACTTTATGCCACTGAGTCTTAGTTTATTTTTTCTTTAGCTGGGATGTCAACAAGCGAAAATTCCATTAGAGTAAGAATTTGTTCCATGATGTATCTATTATCAGTGACTTGAAGAGTACTGGCTACACAGTAAGTACTCAATAAATACACATTGAATGAATGATACTTTTCCTCCTAAGCTCTTGTCAAAGCAAACAGCATCTTCTTTAAAAAATCTTCTATAATCTTGCCACACAGAATTTAACTATTTGTCCTACAAATGTTAGGTAGTAGGCCAGGCAATGGGGATACAGAACTTGCTGCCCTTGAAGGCTCTCATTCTGAAATTTTTATACCTGTATGATATGCTAGTCCTTATGCTAATCTATTTTATGTTTATTTATTTGCTCAATAACTTTGTGAATACCACGTGACAAACACAGAACCTTTATCTCCTATTCTCTTATTTATCTTTTATCACAAAAATCAGAGATTTAATAATTCTTGAACCGCATTTAAATAATTACAGAAAAATTATTTAGAACATTTTTTAAGATAAATGTTAGGAGCCATAATCATAGTATTTTCTAACTACTTCTTATTCACCTATTAATTACAAAACTGGAATCCTATATAAATTGATTCATATTTTGTTAAAAAGTTTTAAGACTTTTCAGTTATACAAATTAATGATAATATTACATAATGAAATACTGCTAAAAAGTACTTTAAATATAAAATGTGCCTACCCTTTAGCCCAGCAATTCTACTTTTGAGATTCGATTCTAACCACAAACACACATGGTCATACAAAGATGTATGTTTATCTCCTGGACTAGAGGATAGTAGAAATGAGAATACCATGAAGTGAAAAGAGAAATTTCTAGAGAAACGTGTATAATGATTCCATTTGTTGTTTAAAAAGGAAAAAATATAGAGTGTATAATTACATACACACAAGCAAAGGAATGGAAGGACACAATCAAACTATTAACACTGGTTACTCCACACTACAGAACTGGATGCGGAGAAAGAGAGATGACTACTTTCCATATATCCTTCAATGCTGTTGAATATAAGAGCATATATCATTTCTGTATTTAAAATATGAAAAACTTACTCTTTTAAGTGTACAAAAAGGCTTCTCCCTGTGTCTTAGTTTTAATATGGGCATTCCCCAAGTTCTGAGCATCTGACATACAAATGTAAACCACTGTGTTATACCGAGTGAGTTGAAGGAAAAAAGGAAGAAAGGCAGAGGCTGTGCATTAGTGAGTTGAAGGAAAAAAGGAAGAAAGGCAGAGGCTGTGCATTAGTGACTTCTTTTCTCACAAAAGGCTTCATGTGGTGAGAGGTGGGTGAAGCAAGGAGAATGTTGAGGACAGGGCATTTAAACACAAAACAATGTTAATAAGAAATAATAAAACAAGGTGAAAATGAAAATTATTGGCAGGTTCTCAAGCTTCTTTTAAAAAAATGAAGGTCAATTAACCCATAATGTGTATGAGATACTCTATATTTCCCATAATGTGTTTTTGGCCTTTGGATAGTATTACACTTGTAAGTCAATTTCTACATACTAAATCTCCTTTAGGTAATACACTTAATCGATAATACCAACAAACATTCCAAATGCCTGAAGTCACTAGCTTAGAGCAGTCTAGAACAAGTTCTGTTTCATTTGCTTTCAAAGCCTGTCCAGTAAGCCACTCTCTGACCCTACTGGATGCAGGCAGGCTGTCTTATAACCACTAGTCATGGAATGAGATGACTGCTATTTCCCACATCCCTGTTACATGATACCTACAAGGCACTTTACAGTTTAAAAGCTCTTTGATACATGAATCAAAATGTTCCACCTAAGAGAAAGCATTAAATTAAAATGCATATACCTATCATTATAAACATATGCAACAATTCAGTCTCTGATGAATAAAAAAGTGACAAAATATGAACTTGAAATGTATGCTTATAAGCCAATTTGAGTAACACTTAAAATTGTATGATACCTAATATGTTCATAAGTAGAAAACTGCAACTGAGAAACCACCACAAAACTAAAAATACATCATTTAGAAACAAAAAAATTTAACATTTAAAAGCGAAGGTCAGTTTCTTTGAGTAAAGTCTACCTCAGTGGACTATGACCGATAGTTAAAAAGTAATCCACTCACTTTTTCTTTGTACATCAAAACAAACAAACACAAGAAATCTAGACTATAATCGTTGACAAGTAATTTGTTATACCACTTCTTCCCTAAAGGGCAAAAAAAACACTAGGTAAATATGGTTGCACCTCATGCAATGATGATTTTGCAAAAAGAATTCATATAACTGTGTACAGATTATTAAAGCTTGAAAGCATTGTCTAATTCAAAAAATCTGACTAGGCACTCAAAATAACATATATGCCAAGATGCCACACACTAAACATGAAAGACGTAATTCCTTTTATATCCAGATACATTATAGCAAAGATAAAACAAATTTTATAATTCTTTCTACCCATTGTAGCTATTTTACACAGATTAAATAAAATTTATTCCAAAAATAAAAAACACTGCATATATACAAAGCCACTAAGGTTTACTTTCAGTTATTTAGGAAAGTCTTATATAGAGAAAGAAATGAAGAATGGGTCAGTTCACAATGAAACAAGACATTATACATCACCTAAAATGAGTAAGAACTAGAATCCAAGTGTAAGAAAAGGCCACATAAAGCAAACCCATCTATAACAGAAACCAAATTTCACAATAGTGGGAATATAAAGTTTCATTCTCTTGAAAAAAATTTTAAGTAGTTTTAAAAATCTTATTTGTAACAAACAAAAGTGAGGTTATAACTATGTGCTTATGCTTAAAACATAAAAAGAGTGAATCAAATGTTGCTTTTCTGGCAACTTTTTTCCAACAAATTGCATGACAGACCAAATCAAGATCATTTGACTTCTGCAGTGCAATCATAAAGAAGGTTTTTTGGTTTTGGTTTCCAAAACATTCAAAGGCTCCATCAAGTTTCCCAAATGCCTGTCTTAATATTTTAATCTTCAAATAGTTCTTTTTAAATGCCTATAACTCAAAGTCATCCTTGTTGGTCTTTCTCTTCTTTACTTTTTAACTGGTCCACTGGATATTTTAACAACCAAAAATCATCTAGGAAGCTTAATACACAAAGAAAGCACGAGCCCAGAGAGACATACAGGCTAAGTGCAGAGGGGTTTAGAATGGAGACTAATTTTATTAGTACATTAGTCAATATTCTGCTTTCCTACACAACCACTCCTGAAACCTCATAACTGCAGGGTACTTGGATAATTTCTCAGCTATTGAGAACCCCCATTATGTGTATTTGCATCAACTGTTTATATGTAACAAGAGGGGATATACATCTTGGTCTGAATATCTTAGGATGTGTACAATATCTTGGTCAGGACCACATTAAAAATGATTTTTTAAATGCAATATAATACTGTACCAAGGTTGTGAGAGAGTTCCTTTTCATATAGAGTCTCTCCAAGTACTGTAGCCCCTCATCTTTCAGTAACTCCAATGGGAAATGGTGCAGATTCCTATAATTTAAGAACAAATTCTTGTGCTTTTCCAGCCTTGCCACAGAGATCGTCTTACAAAGTTCAGATGCCATGACTGAACATATCCCATCAGGCACACCACAGCACTACATCTTGTCAAAATTGGTCCATTTCTAAAGAGAATAAGAAAACGTAATAATTATAATGCTGCTTACAAGCATTGCCAAATACCAGTTAGCACAGAGAGCTATATGCAAATACTAAAAAGTTATACATTCAAGTTTTTTATTCTTTCCTAACAATGAAATTTGTCACACATATTTAGAAGATTAAAATGAATAACTTTAATAAAAATACTGTTTAAGCAATATTTACTACTTAGCAGAAACAGTTCTAATTGAAAAAATAGTTCTTGAAAGGAATAGTCCTGTTCTAAGAGAGACCATTTTCATAAATGCAACCAAGCAAGAATTTAAAAATCAGATATAGCAAACCCATTCCTTTCTTAAATTACTTCATTTTGTATTTAGTTCAAGGTATTTAAAAAACATTTTAATATATTTTAAAACATCTAGATCACTTACAACTTCATTTGCTTCACTTCATATATCTAAATATTGTCCTGTATTCTAATTTTTTCTCTTTTATGTCTATTTTGTCTTTCTTCTTAGCTTGGCAGATTATCCAAAGTACAAAGAAATAGATCCAGGAACAATTTTATTTTATCATTTCAAAGAAAGGAGAAATACTATACTAGGGAATGACAACCCTGTGTTACTCTATTATAATCTCTCTAGGCTTCAGCTGCCTAACATATAAAATGGAGATAGTAATTTATTGGTAAAGGCCAGAACCCAGAACAAATTAAATCCCTTCTAGCTGCAAAACTGATAAGGGTAGGGAGAGAAGTAACATTGCCATCTTATCAACTAGGCACAGGGCAGAAACAAACTTCAATCACTTAAAGCAAGATGAAACAGAGCTTCAATAATCTGTCCAAGGTCAAGCAGCTCACAAGGGATAAAAGCAAAGATTTTTTACTTGGGATTGGCGAGGGGGTGTCCAGTGGATTTCAAAGCCTGGATTCTTTACATATACACTCCCAGGATTCCACAGGATACTAAGGAAATGCCAAAACATTAAAAAGAAAATAAGCTTCGTTTAAAGATGTTTCCTGGGCATCCCTTCTCAATCTCTAACAGAAAATGCCTTTCAAAGAAAATTGTTTCTCTTAATAAAAACTATTTTCACTGGGAAGTAACCCAAGTTAGTGCAAAAATGTAGTGACATAAGCTTTTAATAAGCAGTTCTGCAACTTTTTGGTTATTTTCTATTATTTCCAAACTCTAATTCCTAGCTAACGAGAGAGCACTTGCCATTTTATACAAAAGGGCAGAGAATATGGAATATTTAATAATATCTCCAATGCAGCAAAAGAATCTAATGCTTTCTTATTCCATCTACTCATTTACCTATTTTTATAAGAAATCTATGATTTTGAAGAAGATACTCAATCTCTATACATCTTTATTCCTTCTCAGGTAAAACAAGAGGAAGTAGACTAGAAATAACAGTGATTCTGCGTGGAAAGGGACACTTTCTGAGAAATTACTCACTTAAGTAGCAAACTAGAAGTAGTTGAGATTTCTCACAAGCACCTCAAACTTAACATTCAAAAAAGAGCTTTTGATTTTCATCACTAATATGAATTCTCCCCAGTCTTTTCCAGTTAGTAAACGGCACTCACCACCATCCATCCAGCTATTCAAGCCAGGAAGTTGGAAGTCATGAATAATTCCATCCTTCCATTCACTAGCCACGTCCCGTTTATCATAAGCCCAGTGGTCTGCATCTCTGAAATACATCTCAAAGCCATCCACCTCTTTCCAACTGTCACTTTCATCTCCTGCCTGGCCATCTCGGTTACTGGTCTCCCTGTGTCTGCGTTAGCCACTTGCCAATGCAGTACTCACTTAACAGTGAGCCTTTAAAAACGTAAATCTTATTGTCTCCCTCTACCTCTCTCAAGTAATCTGGCTCCCTAGCGTACACACATCCTACTAAATGAACCCTTCAAAAGCTTATTTAGAAAATCAAACCCTTACCAGGCACTGAGGGCTCTTCACAATCTGGCCTCACCCACTTCTCCAGCCTTATCTGGCAGCATTCTCCTTGGCTTCTCACCAAGCTCCTGGGCTTTTCTAGTCCTCACAAGTACCAAACCCTTCACACTTGCGTCTCTCCTCTTACCCTGGAAAACACTATCCCATCATTCTTCAGGTTTCACTGTAAAAAAGACCACCACTTCCCTATCCAAAACTAAAGTGTTCTCCCGTATTCTTTCAGAGAAACGCAACTCTTTTTCTTTGTATGATTTCTCACAATTTGTAATTATATACTTATTGGTGTATCTGTCTATTGTTACTCTAGCCAAGAGACTATATAAGCTTCTGAGGACAAAGATCTCTTGTATACTTGCCTCTATGGTAGCACAATATCTAGCATAAAGCAGGCCCTCAAACGATGAATGGATGAAAGCAGAATATGTAATATTGCAAAAACAGATTTTTTCATTTTCTGATCTAAGGTCTGCTTAATACTATATAATGCTAAGTGTTTGTTATGTACCAAAAAGATACCTAATTCTTACAACTCTGAATTGCAATAGACATTATTTAACCCATTTTATAGATGAAGAAACAGTTTCTCGGAGGGTAACTTGCCAGAATTCCAATCCAAGTGAACTGACTCCAAAGCTGGTTGCACTGCCAGGCCTTTCATGCACTTCATAGGGGCCTGTGCTTCTTCCCTTATCATTTAAGTGGTATACAAAGCTTATACAAATGTAAGCCGACAAAGCAAAACTATTTGAAACCCACACTCACAGATGGAAGGTCCAATAAGAGAATTCAGTATACCCTGACGGCTTTCCTTCTGAATCGTGATAGCTGGGATTGGCTGCCTTTAAAACGTCATCATACCCTGTTGAAATGTATCTTGCTACAAAGGCAATTTGGTAAGATAAAATCTACACAATGAAATCTGAAAGCTGCCAATAATAAATAATGCTAATGATTTTCCAATATGCATTCGTTGGTAATATACAGCCTTTACCAGGGTAATTTTCTTCCACCAATTCCCTTTACTACCTCTTACCTAGAGTTAAAAGTAAATGGTATACTTAGTATTAACCGTATACAAATACACCTCCACAGGTTTTTAATATACACCAATCCACTTGACTTCCAGCTTAAGAATATTTCACACAATTGAAACAGTGTTTAAAAGGAAAGGAGTCCCTCAGACTGACTTCCATACTTAATTAAGAACACTCACTCTTAATTTCCGAATACTGGAGATGAGAGTATTAAAAACTGTTCATTTAAAGGCTTAGTAAAAGGTTATTTTCTAAGGACTAAGAAGATCTGGCAGAAGTCTTAGCAACACACCTGCTGTTTCATCCAACTTAACCAAATACTAAGGTCTTTACGGTTTGGAAGCAGCGAGCTCAGTGGGCACGGATTTCCCAGACACGGTTTTAGGGATTCTCCGGCCGCACAGGGTGAGGAGGGCCCTGTAGCGGTGGCGACCCACAGCCCGCACCGCTCCGCTCGGGCCGTGGTCCACTCGCCGCGGCGGGGCCGCTTTTGCTGGGGTCGACCAGAGGGCTGGGGGCCCGGCCAGGGGACTTCGCCACGGGACCCACCCGACTCGGCGGAGACGCGTACTCACCTCAGCGCCCGGTGAGCCAGCGCTCCCGGGCGCAGGCTGCGCAGGACAACGAGCGGAGGGACGGCGGGCGGGGCGGGACGGGGCGGGGCGGGGGCGGGAAAAGACGCGGAGGGTGAGGAAGGGGCGGAACCTGCACTACCGAAGGCGGGGAAGCGGGAGGAAAAGATGGAACCTCGCGATATTTCGCTTCTGTTCTCGCGCTTCACGATAGGTAGGACGAGAGGCTCGTTTTTCAAGAGATGCGCCTATTGGTCAAGAATTCAGCTTCCTCAAAACTGGCTCCGCCCACCGCTCGAGTCTTCTTCCGGTCCAGTTAGGAATTTACAGTCAAGAGAGGGGCGGTTTGCTTAGCGTCTAGAAGGGGTGTTTTAGCCGGCTCCGACTTCAGGAGCTGTAACTGACCTGTGCTTTCATTCATGCATTCATTCGGTCATTCGTACTCTCGATTTGCAACAATAGCCCACGAGCGCTTATTGTGTACCAGGCAGCGTTCTAAGAACCGTGCATAGATTATCTCAACCCTCACAGCAATCCCATGACACAGGTATTATTATTATTATACTCGTTTGACGGACGAAAAACTGTGGCGGAGTGAGTTTATATAATATGGCTGAAGTTAGTTAGCAAGAGCCCAAGCACTGGATTTAAGGGCTCACGGCTCGTTCCAAAGATGAGGCGATAACCTCTGCCTCTTAAAGTCTGTAGTAAGAAACGATTGCGAAAAAGGATATTAACAACTTAGTAAGCTAAATGCTATGGTAGTGCCTGGCATGATTGAGCAGGCTGTCAATAAATATTTTTTCAAGACAAAAATTCAAATGTCAGCAGAGAGAGATGAAAGGAAGAGAGCTTTATGCTGCTAAAAAATTCCAAGCATTATTAGTGGACATTTTAAAACCTTATTTTTAAAACACCTAGTTTTTTTTTATTTTGCTATCATTAATGTACAATTACATGAACAACATTATGGTTACTAGACTCCCCCTATTATCAAGTCCCCACCACATACCCCATTGTAATGTCCCTGTCCATTACCGTAGTAAGATGCTATAGAATCACTGCTTCTCTTCTCTGTGCTATACTGCCTTCCCCGTGTCCCCCCCGCCCCCCCCTCCGGACACATCATACGTGCTAATCGTAATGACCCTTATTCTCCATATCCCTCCCTTCCCACCCATCCTCCCCAGTCCCTTTCCCTTTGGTAACTGTTAGTCCATTCTTGGGTTCTGTGATTCTGCTGCTGTTTTGTTCCTTCCATTTTCCTTTCTTCTTATACTCCACACATGAGTGAAATCATTTGGTACTTGTCCTCCGCTTGGCTTATTTCACGGAGCATAATACCCTCTAGCTCCATTCATGTTGTTGCAAATGGTAGGATTTGTTTTCTTCTTATGGCTGAATAATATTCCATTGTGGATATGTACCACATCTTCGTTATCCATCTACTGATGGACACTTAGGTTGTGTCCATTTTTTGGCTATTGTAAATAGTGCTGCGATAAACATAGGGGTGCATCTGTCTTTTTCAAACTGGGCTGCTGCATTCTTAGGGTAAATTCCTAGGAGTGGAATTCCTGGGTCAAATGGCATTTCTATTTTGAGTTTTTTGAGGAACTTCCATACTGCTTTCCACAATGGTTGAACTATTTTACATTCCCACCAGCAAAAAACACCTTGTTTTTTAATATGGCAACTTTCTTTTTAAAAGAAATGAAGTTTCTAAAAAAAAGTTTTTTTCTCACATGAAACTGCTGTAATTCATTGTTGTTTGAAAAACTTGATGTTGATTAATTTATTGCCCAGCAACCTTGACTGTGTAATAACTAGTTTCACATTGGTTTATTTAGTTACTGTTACAGATGAATAACTCAAAAACCAGAATTACACTAAATTTAAAAAACACTTATTCCAAAACAAGGTATGAATTATACTAAAATACTTGTTATTTATATTAAACATCGTCTTCAGAAGTCACAAGTATACGGCATGATATCAATCATGTAGTTCTAACACTTTCAATGCAGGTTTCTAAATACCTAAGAATTTGTAGTACTTTCTTAAAAAGTTGTATTAATTATTTTGGCTAGATGTAACATGAGGAATCATATCGTTTGTGTAAAAACAAAAATTTTTAGGCTTTAAAGACTTAGTTTGATTAAGGATCAACCCGAATAATACAACTTGCTCCCAATATTGAAAAGTGCCAAAAATATCATTAACAGTAGATAAACCATTTGTTCAAAATAATCAACTTAGCCTTAGTTTTCATTTCTTAAAAGAAATATTTTTAATACATTAATTTAACACCCGATATTTGATCGTGAAAATGGATCCTCTTAAAATAACTTATATCCCCTGAAATTGACACAAAAGTAGCCAACTGATTCTATGTATTAGTATATAATGTATTTCCCATGTCCACTCTTTTAAAAAGTTATCTATATTTCCCTAGTGTCAATTTTTATGTTTTGCCTCACTCAAAACAAAGAGGCGGGGATCCTCTAAACTAGTGATTTTGCAATCTGTAACAAACTTTTAAGATGAACAGGCAGCGATACCACTTTAAGAAAATCCCAAGGAAAAGACAACCCCATTTTAAAATTCCCACCTCTGGCTCCCAAGGATTGGGCTGCAAACTTCAACAAAATAATCATCTGCACTCCTTATTGGTGCATGCTCTATCATTCATGCTTCTGCCTGGAGTTTTGTGAGCATCCAGGTTGCTTTACGGGAAAAGGCTGCTATAATTTAGTCTGGAACTGCCGCACTTCAGAGTTTTTCATGGTTATCAATCCGTATAAAGAATCACCAAACGGGTACAGCGAGAACCAACTGCCAAATCAGGCTGCGGAGACAACTGTGTAATTCGCTTGAGAAAGAAACGGAGAACCTCTCATGCATACAGGGTAAATTGACAAAGGATTTTACGACTGAGAGATTTGAGAGTAAAAGAAATTTTTCCGGTTTTTCGCTAGTTTTAAAGGAGCAGGTGTCAAAAGGAAAACCATAAAAAAATACAAGCATAATCTAAGAACGCCAGAAAGAGGAGTTTTAAGAGGGTATTTTTCTCGTTACGGTGAGGTTGGAAGAGCGTTATTCCAGATTATCAGTGAATATTTGGATGGAAAAAGGAACGAGGTAATAAGATTATAGTTTATTTTTATACCATAAAAAGCTCTGATTTGTTAGTGTTGCTTTAAAATGGATTTAGAGGACACTTAGTAATATTGTAATTTTTAAGTGAAATGAATATTTTTGTATATTATACCTGTCATAATAGACAATCCATCTATTAAAAGATATAAGGAAATTAGAAGCAGCTTTGTGTGGAATTTGTGTATATTTGCAGATTAGGAAATTCAGGAACAGATTTGCTAATGACTAAGCAAAACATAATATTGGTACTGTATATAAAGCAGAATCAGTAGGGAATTAAGGAAAAATCCTTTAAAAAGAAATCTGGCATTTACACTTTCACAATGATGTTTTCATTAAAACTAAAATATAAAAGTTAAGGTAAATTTTAACAAACAAGAATAATATTAAAATTTACATTTGAAACAGCAACATAATATTTTTTAAGGACCCAGCCCATTATATAATTATAAATTATAGCATCTTAAAAATTCTAACAATAAATTCAACCAATGAAGATTCTTCCGATAATGAATAAATACAATACCTAGTGGCACATCTATACCTCTACAGAACCTAACTCATAGTAGGTATGCAATAAATACTTCTTGATGGGCCTCTGTTAACCCATATAAGGGTATAATATAAAAAAAATACAGTCTCAAGAAACTCAAACTGTAGCTGGGAGAGTGAGGCTCAAAATATTTAAATTAAAACGTTCTGGACAGTTCTTGATGCATACATGACTGTTACCATAGGTGCTTCAAGAGCTTAGATCCTTGTGAGATGAAAATATTCAGGGAGGATTTCAGAATTAAGACCCAGATTGGACCTGAGTGAAGGGCAAAATTTCAGTAGATAGAAAAGATGTGGCCCACTGCAATGCTACCAAGTTTACTCTATGGTGTACTAGGATATCCATTTACTCCCCTAGCTATTCTAGCCCTCTTTGTAGTTAGGGGAGCAAATGAAATGTTAAAGTGACACATGTGACCAGTGGTAGTGAAAAGCTCATCCATAGTTTTCTGATCTCTCTTGGTCTGCCATGACTGCTGTTGATGGATAAACTCTGGTCAACCTGGATGTCTGAGTGACTCTATAGATCATAAATTCCCTCTCTCTTCCCACTACTCCTAAACCAAGTGGGTCTATAGTGGAGTATATATGTATTAACCTTCCTATAGCCCATTCAGTCCCAACTACCTCAACTGTTAACAGGTTTTTCCCTGGGGATGTTGGCATTTGATTTTTCTTAAGTTAAAAAAAAATCCTTAATTGAATTACTGGTGGATGAGGTGTTTGGAGAGAAAAATCACTTAAGGACTAATAGGTGCCAGGCACTAAAGCCATGTGCTCTATCTATATTCGTAGAACCATAATATTAATATAAATTGGTTTCCAAGATTTTGGGGTCAATTCTTGGAATTTCCAAGATTTTGGGGCCAATTCTCTGCCTCATTGTGTTTGGGAAAGAAGCCTGCTCTATCTTATTAAAGTCTTGTAGTCATAAAACATATAAAAGCTAGAATTACACAGAAAACTGCATTGTAATTTCATAGATATTTTTAAACAGCTCTAGCGAGGTGTTATTTGTATACCATAAAATTCACTCATTAAAGGGTGATTCAGTGATATTTTAGGAAATTTACAGTGTTGTACAACCACCATAATATTCCAATTTTAGAAAATTTCCATCACCCTAAAAAGATACCTTGTGCCATTCTCAGGCATTCCTCATTCCTACCCTCAGACCAGGCAGTCATTAATAAACTTTGTTTCTATAGATTTGCCTTTTCCAGACATTTTATGTAAATGGAATCATAAAATTTGTGGCTATTTACATTGGCTTCTTTCACTTAACATAATGTTTTTGAGGTTTATCTGTGTTGTAGCATGTTTCAATACTTGATTCCTTTTTATCACCAAATAATACTCTGTTGTATGAACAGTGACACATTTTGTTTATCCATTGATCAGTTGATGGACAATTGGATTGCTTTCAGTTTTTAGCTGTTGTAAATAATGCTATAAAGATGTGTACAAGTTTTTGTGTGAACATATGTTTTCAATTTTCTTGGGTAAATACATCACAGTGGAATTGCTAACTCTATGTTTAACTTTGCAGGAATTCACCCACTGCTTGATAAAGTGAATGCAGTTTGACTTTCCACCAGTGGTGTATGAGGGTTCCAATTTCACCACATCTTCACCAACACTTCTTATTGTCTGTCTTTTTTATTATAGCTATTCTGGTGGGTTAAGTAGTTCTCTCTGTAGTTTTCATTTCCATTTTCCTAAAGACTGTGATGTTGAGCATCTTCTCATGTGCTTATTGGCCTTCATATACCTTCTTTGGTAAAATGTCTATTAAAATCTTTTGCTTATTTTTTAGCTGAGTTTTTTGTCTTATTATTGAGTTGTAAGTGTTCTTTATATATTCTGGACAAAAGTCTTTTATCAAATATATGATTTATCTGCACATATTTGATCAAGTGTAAATGTTTATCAAATATGTGGTATATTCTCCCATTTTGTGGGTTGCCTTAACTTTTATAATGGTGTCTTTTGAAACAAGAGTCTTTAATTTTGATGAAGTCTAATTTATCTTTTTTCTTTTGTCACTTGTGCCTTTGGTGTTGTATATAGGAAATATTTGCTAAGTTCATACATAGTCTTATGCTTTCTAAGAGTTTTACAGTTTGAGCTCTTATTTTTAGGTGTTGGAAGCAGCTGGAACTAATTTTTGTATATGGTATGAGGTAGGGTTCTAACTTCATTCTTTTTTACATGCATATCCAGTTATGCCAGCTTCATTTATTGAAAGGATTATTCTTTCCTCATTGAATATCTTGGGTCTCTCGTGAAAAAATAATTGACCATTAATGTAAAGGTTTATTTCTAGACTCTCAATTCTATTCCATTGATCTATATTCAAGCCTTAAGCCAGTACCACACCATTTTGACTGTAGCTTTGTAGTAAAGTTTTAAATAGGAAGTGTGAGTCCTTCAACTTTGTTCTTCATTTTTTAGATTGTTTTAGCTATTCTAGTTCTCTTGCATTTCCATATAAATTTAAGCCCAAATTTTTTTTTTTTTAAAGGCAGCTGGGATTTTGTTAGGTGTTGCTTCAAATTGATAGATCTACTTGGGGATTATTGCTATCTTAATAATATTAAGGCTTCTAATCTATAAGCTTGGAATGTATCTCATTTATTTAGATCTTCTTTAATTTTTTTCACTTACATCATATATAATTTTCAGTATACAAGTCTTGTACTTTGCTAAACTTATTTCTAAATATTTTATTCTTTTTGATACTATTGTGAATGACAATGTTTTCTTAACATTTCAGACTAAAAGAAATGTAATTTTTGTTTATTTTGTATCCTTTGACTTTGCTGAAATTGTTTAGTAGTTCTACTTGGGTTTTGTTGTTTGGTTTTGTCTTGTTTTTTGTTTGTGCACATGCATGTGTATGGCTCACTTAGAATCTTCCACATATATGATCAAGTCATACGATAATAAAGTTTTATTTCTCCCTTTGTTATCTGCATGCCCTGTTTTTTTTCTTGCCTTATTGCACTGGTTAGAACATATATTATGATCTTGAATGAGTACAAACATCCTTGCCTTATTTCCAATCTCAAAAGGAAAGCATTCAAACATTAACTATTAAGTGATGTTAGCTTTAGTTTTTTAAAATAAGGTTTTTATCATCCCTTTATCAAGTTGAGGGAGTTTTTATCATTAATAGGTTTTGGACTGTGCCAGATATTTTTTTGCATTTATGCAGATGACCATGCAGTTTTTGTCTTTTAGTCTATTAATATATAGTGTATTACCTTAGTGATTTCAGATTTAAATCAACTTTATATTCCTGGGATAAATCCCCTTTGGTCATCGTGCATAATACTTTTTATATGTTGCTAGATTTGGTTTGCTGTTGGGGACTTCTTGTGTTCATATTCATCAAGGGTATTGGTTTGTTGATTTCTTATGATGTCTTTGCCTCACTTTGGTACCATAGGATGAGTTGGAAGGGATTCTCTCTATTTTCTCATAGAGTTTGCAAAAGATTCGTATTATTCTTCAAAGGTTTAGTAGAATTCACACTGAAACCATCTGGGTTTAGAATTAACTGTATGTAAATATTTTAAATTACTAATTTAATTTCTTTACTTGTTTTAATTCTGGTTCAATTTTCTATTTCTTTTTATTCCATTTTAGTATTCTGTCTCTTTCTAAGGTGTTTTCCTATTTCATAGCTTTTTAATGCCTCAGCTTACATCCAGGACAATGTGGTTTTTAACTAATACATTCACATATAGTCATAATGGTGGTTATTTCCTAGAAGCCACTGCCCTGAGGGCTCCTGCTCCTCCCACAAACTTTCCTACATCTCCCCACAAGTCAGTACCCAAAGGTTAACACCTGGCATAGCAGGGGACCTCAGAAACTAGTTCCAGCATAGCTACTATCTATTCAGATTGGTTGGCCTTCCTGCTATACCAGTTATTAAATTCTGAACATCACTTCTTGGAAATGGAAAACTGAGACCCTACTTTAGACCTTTCCTCCTCTGATCTGGGTCTGATTGTGTGCTTCTGTATTCTATTGGGCAGGTCTGGCAGAAGGAACAGCACTAATTGATTGGGTATATCTGACTGGCAGTTGTGGGCACTGATTGAGAGGCCTGGGAAACTTAACCCAAGGCTTGCAGGGAGAGGGTGGTTTGTGGAGCCTGGGTTGTCGTCAAATGAAAATTTAACCC